GTATTTTCTTGGCTTGTTTGGCTTTCCTTGATTTCTTGCATCTTTTGGGTTGTCTTTTCTTCCATTTCTCTGAAGGATTTTCTGATTTTCTCTCTTAGGTTCTCTGGCATCTCCTTGAAGTTGTTTTTGTTCAACCATGTTCATAGCAGCATTATTTGTAATAGCCAGAAACTGGAAGCAGCCTAGATGCCCCTCAACCGAAGAATGGATAGAGAAAATGTGGTACATTTACACAATAGAGGGCTACTCAGCAGAAAAAAACAATGGAATCTTGAAATTTGCAGGAAAATGGATGGATCTAGATGAAACCATTCTGAGGAGGTAACCCAATCGCAAAAAGACAAACATGGTTTGTACTCACTCATATGTGGATTTTAGACATAGAGTAAGGATTACCAGCCTACAATCCACACTGCCAAAGAAGCTAATAAACATGGAGGTCCCTAAGACAGACATACATGATCCCCTGGAGAAGGGGAGAGGTTCAAGATCTGCTGAGAAAATTGGGAGCACGGGAAGAGGGGGGATGGAGCTAGGAGAATGAGAAGGGGAGAAGAGGAAAGATGCAGAGGTCATGAGGGAGCAGAAAGGTTGAGTCATAACAAGAAAGGAGGTATCATAATAGAGGGAGACATTTTTGGTTTACAGAGAAATCAGGCACTAGGGAAATGTCTGGAGATCTACAAAGATGACACCAGCTAACTATCTCAGCAACGGAGGAGAGGCTACCTTAAATGCCCTCCCCTGATTATGAGATTGATGACTGACTTATATGCCTTCATCCAGCAGCTGGTGGAAGTAGTAGCAGACACCCATAACTAATCACCGATCTGAACTGGAACGCAGATGCAGAGATGGACCAGTGAAGAGCATAGAGGTCCAGACCACACTGGTAAAACACACAGAAACAGCTGACCTGAACATCCGGGAACTCTTGCTCCCCAGTGTGATAGCTGGAATACCAGCATGGGACTGATCCAGACCCAAGGAACATGGGTTTCTGTGCGGAAACCTCAGGAATCTATGGGACCTCCCGTAGGAGCCCAGTATTTATCCCTAGCACAGGTGTGGACTTTGGGAGCCCAGTCCATATAGAGGTATACTCCCTGAGCCAAGACACACAGGGGTGGGCATAGTCCCTACCCCAAAGGAAACGAAAGACTCTGATGACACCCTATGGAAGGCCTCACCATCCAGGGGGAGCAGAAAAGATATGTGACAGAAAAGATTTTAAGTGGGGGGGGGCGATAAGGGAGGATGGGTGGGAGAAGGGAACTGGGATTGTCATGTAAAACAATCATGTTTCTAATTCAAATTTAAAAAAGTTAAAAAAAAAGAAATAAAAAAATGTGCTAATTTCTTGACTTGTATTTGAATGAGGGAACACTACAAAGATACAAAAGAAACTTATAAAAAGTAAATTCCTAGCCAGGTATTGGTGGTGCACACTTTTAATCCCAGCACTCAGGAGGCACAGGCAGGTGGATCTGTGAGTTTGAGACTAGCCTGGTCTACAGAGCAAGTTCTAGGACAGCCTCCAAAACAATACAGAGAAACCATGTCTCAAACCCCTCCCCCACACACAAAAAGTAAATTCCTTAGCACAGGAAGGAATAGGGGACATGGAGACAGGGTGGAAGTGAGAATTCTTAATAGATATTCTTTTTTCTTTTTTTTTTCTTTTTTTTTTTTTTTTTTGGTTTTTTGGAGACAGGGTTTCTCTGTGAGCTTTGGAGCCTATCCCGGCACTCACTCTGGAGACCAGGCTGGCCTCAAACTCACTGACATCCGCCTGCCTCTGCCTCCCAAGTGCTGGGATTAAAGAATAGATATTCTTTATATCACTTTAAATTTTGAAAGTAGCTGGTTTTTAAAGTTAACTGGGAATTATTTCTAAATTACCTCACACTCACCCTTCTGAGCAGCTGAATTCTATCTGTGATCCAAAAGAGAAATCTGTCTTAACTTCCACATGTCCATTTTGTAAGTCTCCTGGATTCCCGCATGATTTTTCTAGAGAAAAATTAAGTGATTGTAAGTGATCCCACCATTCTCGGGTTCTACCATTAGAAACATACAGATCTATATCTACCTCCACATTCAGAAAGACCTACATGCTTAATCACGTTGACCTCTGAATCTGACTCACTGAATTTCTGTTCTGGAGGGAAAATTCGCACAAATCTTGATCTCTTTTTATCATCCTGCTGTATTTTAGCAAGAATCATTTTCTTGATTATAAAAAGAAACCAAAAAGAGAAAGAAGACACTGTGCCATTACTGTTGGGGAAAAGTACAGAATATATTCCCTGCTCACAGTGAATTAGCTGCTCTTCCAAATCTGCAAAATATTTTGGTTTCTGCATGATTTCACTTAATTTTTAAATGAGTATTGAAAATAGTAGGTTTCGTTATGACACTTCCATATAGGTACAGCATTGTGTTTTAATCATATTCACTAGCTACTGTGGTCACCTTCCTTCCCCCAATGTATATATGTACACTTGCATGCATATGCATGTCTTTTTTTAAAAAATTCCAAATTCTATATATAAAAGTCAATGCTTACCATGTGTTTGAGGTAAGATTGCTACTTTCTGGTCTTTTAACCCCAGGATATTTTACCATTATTATTATCATTACTATTTTGATTGTTGTTGTTGCTGTCTGTGGTGGGGGGGGTGGCTACTGCATGCATGTGAATATCTCAGAGGACAACTCTGGAGTCTCAGTTTCCCCCCTTCCACCTTTACACAAATTTCAGGGATGGACTCAGGTCACCTTCACCTGCTAAACCATCCTACTAGGCCCAATTTTTCTTTCTTTTCTCTTCTTTTTGTTTTGTTTTTGGGACAAGGCCTGGCAGGCCCGGAAATCACTATATAGACCAGACCAGCCTCTAACTCACAGAGGTCCTTCATTGCCCCTGCTTCCCAAGTGTTGGGATGAAAGGTGTTCACTATCTCACACCAGGTCTTAGTCTCAATATTTATTTAAATAATTACCTGGTGAGTTACTGATAACTTAGGGTTACTATTACTGAGATGAAACACCACGACCAAAGCAACTTGTGGGGGAAAGGATTTATTCAGCTTATACTTACCCATCACAGTTCATCATCAAAAAAAGTCAGGACAGGAACTCAAGCAAGGCAGGAACCTGAAGACAGGAGCTGATGTAGTGGCCATGGAGGGGCGCTGCTTACTGTCTTGCTCCTCATGGAGCAGCCTGCTTTCTTATAGAACCTAGGACCACCAGCCCAGGAATGGAACCACCCACAATGGACTGGGCCCTCCCCCATCAATAACTAATTAAGAAAATACCCTACAGGCTTGCCTATAGCCTGAACTTATGTCTCCATGGCATAAAGTTCTCTCCTCTCCGATGGCTCTAGCTTGTATCAAATTGGCATAAAACAAGCCAGCACAGTATAGCATTTTTCATTGCAATTAGCTTATTTCTTATTTTCTGCTCTGTTTTATTCTGCTTTTTAGAAGATTCATACATGTATACATTCAAATTGCTAGTTGATGAATTCACTAGTTCCTTAGTGACTTAAGATTCAGTGTTTATATAACCCAAGACAACGTTATGAAACTCATAAGTGCACAGGTGAGAAAAATAAATGTAGGTACTTACTGACACATGAGATAGAAATACGCCAACTCCCCCCAGATGTACAGTAAATAGTCTGGCTTGAACTTGCCCTACTGTAGCCAGGACGGCAACTGTATTTCAAGAGAGTTTGGCTTTCGAAGTCTGTCTGGTTTGTCTCACGTACTAGCAAAGCACCAGGTACATCAGGTGGTGGACCACATTTACCTAGACACCGAGAGGACAGCAACACCAAATGTTACACCTTAAGACACAGCATCTATAATTGTAGAGGGAGAACAGTTCTTTTCCCCTCTAATCAAGGAAAGTAACAAATGTACTATTCCCTTATGTCATGAGTCCCTGAGAGAGGTGCAAATATGTCTGCTGATAAAAGATAATGACAATGATGACAAAAGGTATACATTTTATCTCTTCTCTACTATATAAAATAATGTTTTCTAAAAAGGAGACAGTCAGAAATTTCTTCAGCCTCTATTACCCATCTCTGTTCAGACAGCATCTATGAAAAGCCAAAAACTCCTATAGATTTGCTTTAACAGAAACATGCTGTTTCATTTGAACTGACATAAGCCAGACATGGTGATCTGAAAGAAAGGTTATGAATTCAGTCCAGCCTGGGCTATATAGAAAAGAAAGCACAGAATTGTTGAAATATAAAAATCGTAATCCTACTTTCCCTAATATGGATGAATAGACAGAGCTAGGCTGCCCCTTCCTTGTGAGCCCCAGGAGAAGCATGCATGCTCTTCACTCCTCCATCCCAGACCAACCCCCAGGCCATGAAATGTATTTAGTTGCTGTAAGACAATATAAGTTTATTTCAAACCACAGCTGGGAAACAGGTTGCTTTGGAAAATTAGATAAGAAATTGTAGGTGAACCACCTAGAGAAACTGCCCCAACTCCAGCTGGCCAAATAAATCCTTTGCTGCTGAAACTGGATCTCCACTAGCTAAACGATCTCATTTTTAAAGTATTGTAAGTAATTCTTCATTGTCCATCTGGACTTTTTTGCCTCCTACTCACCAAACACAGCAACCCAGAGAGCAGCAATGACGGTCATTTGGAACAAAGTTGGGTCAGAGACTCTCCAGAGCCTAGAGATGGGCCAGGCCACAGCATCTCTCCCATGTGGAACTCTTGTGGGGCACATAGCCTGCTGCAGCTTTGCCCACTTTTGTTCTGCCAGAAAGCTGAATTTAATAAGCAACGTTTAATCTACTTGACATAAAGCACTGGAATAAATGCTATGATATCCACCTCTTCAAGGAAGTAGCAGCCTAGATGTTTATAGGAGACATGAGCACAGATGGTATCGCCAGAAGACAATGAGGACTCGCCTATGTAAAGGTCACTTGTGGGAAGAGAAATTCATTGCAAATGGAAAAAGGAAGTGAATTTGCAGAGGAGGATATACCTGAGTCCAGTGTTTCGTGAAGCCAGAGAATAAATTCAGGTCAGCCGGGGACAGGAGACATTGTTTCAATTTGGCAAACTAGGAGACCTCTCCTCTCTCCTGCTGCCTTCCTAGATACCTAACCCTGTGGTTATTCAGATTGTAGATGCACATTGAAGACTGACGAGCTGGCTGGCACATATAAGAGAAAATATACATTTGTCTTTTGGGGTCTAGGTTACTTAGCTCAGGGTTATTTGTTTTTCTGGCTTCATTGATTTACCCGTGAATTTCATAATGTTATCTTTCTTAACAGCTGAATAATATTCCATTGTGTAAATGAATCACATTTTCATTATCCATTCATCAGCTGATGGACATCTAGGCTATTTCCAATTTCTGGATGTTATGAACAGAACAGAAATGAACACAAATCTGCAGTAGGATGTAGAGTCCTTTGGGTGTTTGGTATGGCCCAAAAGTGGTATGGCTGTATCTTGTGGTAGATTAATTTTCAGCTTTGGAGAGAGAACCCTCCACACTGATTTCCATAACAGCTGCATCAGTTTGTACTCTTACCAGCAATGAATAAGTGTTTCCTGTTCCTAGCATCCTTCCTGGCATGAGTTGTCATTTGTTTTATTGATCTTGGCCATCTTGACTGGAGTAAGATGAAACCTCAAAGTCATTTTCATTTCCATTTCCTCATGGCTAAAGATGGTGAACATTTCTGTAAGTGTTTCTCAACTATTTGTGTTTGATCTTTTGAGAACTTTCCACTAGTTCTCTGCTTACTTCTGTACTCCATTTTTAATTAGAGTATTTATTTTCTTGACGTTCAGGGCTTTTTTTAAATGTTTTTTTAAAAGATTTATTTATTATGTATACAGTGTTTTGCTTGCACATATGCCTGCATGACAGAAGAGGGCACCAGATCTCATTATAGATGGTTGTGAACTACCATCTGGTTGCTGGGAATTGAACTCAGGGCCTCTGGAAGAGCAGCCAGTGCTCTTAACCTCTGAACCATTCTCCTGCCTCAGGGCTTTTTTTTTTTTTTAATTCTTTATATAGTCTAGATACTAGCCTTCCACCAGATGTGTAACTGGCAAAGATGCCTGAAAGAAGGTATTCTCTTCTTCATTCTGTAGCTGCCACTTTGCCCAGATAATGGTGTCCTTTGCTGTATAGAAGCACTCTAGCCTCATGAGGTCCCATTTACAAATTGTTGGTCTTAGTGCCTGTGTTATCTGCATCCTGTTCAAACCTATACAACATAGTCTTATAGACAGACCAAAGGAAAACTAGAATAGGAGGGCTAAATGAGGAGGGGAATGGGAGAGCAGGGTAAATGTGGTGATATTTTGCTTGTCTGAAAGTCAGAGAATGGAGCTTGCCGAAGCTAACCAAAGAGGTCTGGAGGACTGCACAGACAGACAGGAAGTGAAGTAGCTGGGTAGGAACAAGATATAAGCAGTGAGAAACAGGAACTTGCTCTCTTGTCGGCTGAGATGGTAAGGAGGTAAGGTGTGGCTGTGGCTTGCTCCTTCTTCTCTCTGATCTCTCAGCATTTTCCTCTGTATCTGACTCCAGGTTTTTATCACTTAGACCAATTAATAACTCTGTTTACAGGTAAAGGATGGAATATGGGGAGTGACAACATATTAAAGGCCATTTGAAAAATTATATGGAAACATGCTACTGTAGAAGCTTCCTAAAATATATACATTTAAGAAAGGAATTTAAATAGAGTCACTATATAATGGGGGAGACAATGTCCCAGCAAAACATCTTATGCCACCAAATATCACAGGCTATTTCTAAGGCTATTGGTTGCTTTCCACCAGATGGTAAGGTCCCACATCTGATGACAGCAGTACTTAGGTCATCAAACAGAAAAACTGAGCTGATGCCCATCAAGAGCTTCACTCCTACTAACTAGCTTTCATGGCACTATAAGGTACTCTGCACATGACAGAGGAGAAAACTGATCATCAGTATCACCCAGATACAAACTCTGAGACCTACAACAGAAATCTGCCTGCAAAATATACTGTCGTGACAGTGACACAAATATTATGGGAGTAAATAACCACTCTTCTTAAAATTGGATTTAAGGCTCACTCCAGGAGATGAAACCCAAACTTGACACTACTAAATTGGCCAAGATCCTAAGATTAGATAGATCATGAACCTAAAGGAAAACCTATTACTATTATTCTGCTAAATGAACATAACAATAAAATAACTCCTAATGGTATCAGAATACCCATAGACTAGTGCCTCACTCAGTCCTCATCGGAGAAGTGTCTTCGTGCAGCAGATTGGAATTAACACAGACACCCAAAACTGGACAATGTGCAGAAAGTGACTTTGGAGCACTCAGTCCTTAATGGGATGTCTTCGTTAAACCCCTTCCCTCAAGGCCCACGGATCTATGAGGAAGAGGAGTGGAAAGATTATAAGAGTCAAAGGTGGTAGATGACTCTAAGGAAATGTGTCTTCCACACACAACACTTTTTACCTTTAACCCCCCCATTATACACATAATTCCATGTATAAATATACAAATATAGTTTGCTTTTTGTTTTGTTTTGGTTTTTTTTTTTTTTTGAGACAGGGTTTCTCTGTGTAGCTCTGGCTGTCCTGGAACTTACTCTGTAAACCAGGCTGACCTCAGACTCAGAGACCCACCTGGCTCTGCCTCCTGAATGCTGGGATTAAAGGCATGCACAACCACTACCATCTAGCAAACTGTTAAGACTTTGGTGTTGTTTTTTGTTTTTGTTTGTTAGTTTGTTTTAATTTTTGCTTAGTTTCTTTCCTGTGGTATTGAGGATTGAACCCAAGACCTTCTGCATGCTAGACAAGCACTATACATAACTTATACAAATATAGTTTTAGTGAACTTTTTCCATTGGACTGACAGTGCTTCCTCCACAACAAACACGAGAAGACCTCTTTTGAGGTTTTGGCCAGGCCTGTCCAAGAGACTCCCAAACCATAAACCCTATTGCTTTGCCCTTGGTTAACCCCTGGAAGAGGAAGGTAAGTTCCTATTGCTGAAGACACCATGAACTTTAGAAATAGTGATCAGAGATCCCTGAGCTGGAGCTGGAGCTGATTTGAATGCCCTGTCCCTGAGGAATAGTTTTTGTGGTACTGGAAGGCACCACGAAAACTTCCAAAAGAAGGCAGCAACCAACAACCTTACCTAGCTATGATGCCTATGAACCACAACAACAACCAACAAGGCACACTGACCCTAAGCATGTAGTAGTGGCACACATATCTTGGCAGCAAACAAAAGCTCTCTAATTGGACTTAAGACCCACTCAACAAGAGAGGAAACCATGTCTGGTACTGTAACAAATTACTAGCTAACAAATTACTCCGTGCTAGTGAAATCACAGTCATTAACAGAGAATCTGCAATCACTAATTTACTAAATCAGCATAATCTGTGACAATAATCTATAAAATTTGCCCTTACACCCACAGTTTAGTCTTCACCCCCTCACCAAGAGAACTTCTCTTTGCAGCAAATAGAGACGACCACAGAAAACCAATCAAAATGTAAAGTTATGAAGACCAGTGCCAATGGATACATCTACAAAACACTCCTGTACCTAAGAAGAACATTGCAGAAGAGGAGGTAGAAAGATTGTAAGAGCCAAGGGATGAAGGAGTTTACTGTGAGGTTGTAACTAGTAACATCAGAAGCTATACCAGTAAAATCTCACCAAGAAGACCTCCCAAACATGAGCTAAACAAGGGCACCAATGAACATACAAAACTAGATGCAGGAAGCCCATGAGGCCTTAATTCTACACAAAGAACTATAGGATACTTAGGAATGAGAGAGGTGGTATTCTCCAGGGGAAAACCACAACAATTGGTTGTCCGGTGCCAAATGTTCAACCCTGAAAACAAGTAACATTATATTTAGGAATACATTAATGTAATCACAATTAATGAAAAACTAGGTCATGAATTTGAAAGAGAGCAAAAACAAGTGTATGGGAGGATTTGAGGGGAAGAAAGAAAAAGGGGAAATGTAATTAAGTTACAATCTCAAAAAAATAGAACACAGAGGTGCATATCCTAAAGGGCTTGATAGCTAGCTTCACCCATAACCCCCCACCCAAGTGATCAGTATCTCACTGACCTGCAGTTGCAGAGGAAATGACTCTGTGATGTGCCTTGATCTTTACCGTACTAGTATCTTCTAAGATGACAGTTGACCATAGTATCCTAAAGGTGGCCAGTAATCGATTCACCAAAAAGTCCCTGGATTCTTCCCACACAGGTGGTCCTTGAATTCCACCCACGCAGGTGGCTGGTCAGAGGCAGGTAAATAAAGATGGACAGAGAGAAACTCTCCTTTGTCCCAGTGAATGATTAACAAACTGGAGCAGTGATGTTTACCTAATCTCCTTCCTCACCAGCGCTTATTCTTGATCATGTGTTGCAATTATTTGTTTTCTTCTCTGCCAACCATTTCCCCTAAGTTAGAAGGATGACTGGAATTTGATGTCAGAATTTTCCTTTCCTTTTCATAATTATAAGCAACACAAAATCCAACCAGCCTAGAAACCCTGAGGAGTTCAGACCCACTCCAACCAAAAGGATCGTCTTCCAAGGACAGAAGGCCCAGAGGCCTTCAGGGATCCCAGGTCTGGGGCCTTACTCTTCACTTGTCTCCATGAATCACAAGGAGGTATAACAGATACAGAATGGGTTTTTTTGTTTTTGTTTTTGTTTTTATTGGGTTTCTGTTTTATGATAACATGCTCCACAAATGTTAACCACCAACAAGCAGGCACCAACAGGTCTCCAGAAGCTGGTCTGACACTCATTACCACTCAAAAGAATGCAATGGAGGGGCTAGGAGTGTTACATATCACGCATGTCTACAAATAATGTCAAGCCCTGACATGGCCCATTTAATCAATCCTAAATTTTCAGATTTGTGTGCCCAAAAGACTGCTGTTGAAAAGCAATTCTGGACCAGTGAGATGGCTTGGTGAGTAAATGTGCATGTTGCCAAGTCTAGTGATCTGAGTGTCATCCCCAGCATAAGCTAATTCTTATAAGTAGTCCTCCGATTACCACACATATGCCATGCCATATATGCCCCTATATAAATAAATAAATGTAAAAAAAATAGTTCTTACCAGATATAGTGCTACAAGCTTGTAATTGTAGCACTTAGGAGGCTGGGGCAGAAGGACTAGGAATTCAAGATCAGCCTGGGATATATATATATATATATATATATATATATATATATATATATGACCCCAACTAAGAAATAAAGGGCTGGAAATGTCATGCAGTGGTAGAGCACTTGTCTAACATATATAAGGTCCTTGGGTTTGATCAGCATAGCAAAAACGAAAATATAATTTTCGTGGCATCATAATTTATTTTCTGTAATACACACTAATGGAACCACAAATTAAGCTCATCAGAGAAGTTTGACAGGGATGTGAGATTGGAGGGGATGGCTTGAATAATTAGCAGAAATTACTAGATGAAAATGAGAAGGCTATTATGGGTAAAGAAAGCACATGCACTTCACAAAGGTAAAAGGCTGATTTAATTTGATAAGAATCTAAATAAAGGACAATCTACAAAATTGAGTTGGAGGAAATAACACCTTTCAAGTTCAGTCTTCAAAGTATTGTTTTCCAATGTGTTCAAGCTCTTTTCCCTGCTCTCTGCACAGAGTTTTCTCTCCAAGGGGCCTAGCTTGTCTTACTCTCAACAGATCAGATTGCCTTCTCTATGACTAAAACTCATTCTGTATTAGTTTTATCCATGCCACTTTTTTTTCTCCTGTCAATCCTGATTTTAAAGAGCTGTCTCTTCTTTTCTACGTGTTCACTTGTCTCTTAATCTGAAGTCTTCCAGCAATCTTACCAAAACTTCAAACTCCTTTTCATTCTTTTAATATGATGCTATATTCTCAAGAATACAGCCTTTATCTGCAAGTTCAAATGTCTTCAATTTAGTTCTTATGATTGCTCTGAAATCTTTAACATTGCCAAACATTTCCAATCTAAACCATCCGTCTGTCTGTTCCCCCTTTGACTCCTGTCAATTTGGCAAAATTTAGGATCAGTCTGGGAGATCCAGATTCTCTGGTCGTGTCTGGGGGGATTATCTTAATTATGCTAATTAAGGTGGAAAGACCTGGACACCACAGGTGGCACCATTCCCTAGGCAAGAGGTCCTGGGTGGTGAGCATGCTT